TGACTGATGATAACTTTAGATTATTTAATAGTTTAGATTATAATTGTTATAAAATATGTAGAAATACGTATTGTTTCGATTCCTTGAATAACATGCGTACATTTCTTAATAATTAATTTCAAATATAGGAAATAAATAAATACATTTCATTACATATATATTTTATATAATGCAAGTTCTTTAATAAATACTGATTTAATTGATTTAAAAATTAAAAATTTGATCAATACAAAATATTATTGTATTATGTATTATCTATTTATTACGTATGTAATAAATTTTCAGAGAATGTGATTTTCAGAGACTGATTAACTTCTTAATCATTCATATTTTTCGTGATATATTATACAATTATATATATTATAAATATTTGTTAATAAGAGAATTTTATGAAAAGCTACTCAATACTTCCGATCTATGAATCAATATATAAATCGATAATTTATTAATTTTTTAAAAAAAAAATGACGGTCAAGTTTCTAACGATATCTCTTCTATATAAAAACACTTTAAATATTAAATATACTTATAAAGTTAATATATTATACTTATAAATTTTATTTTTATAAAAAAAGATTGCACTATATCATATTATTATATCAACTATTATATATATATATATGAATACTATTTATATGAATAATTGTATTAGTAAAATGTATAAAATAAAATTTTACTGTATTATCAACAATTCTTTAAATTTTGTAAATAATTTTCTATAATAATTTTTATTGTTTTATTATACTTTGCTATTTACCTTTCGGTGTACCTTGATGAAACAGAAGTAGATCTCGCAGTAGTTGATCTGGAGGTAGTATATGGACCACTTTGAATTGATGTTACGATACTTTGTTTCGTCGAAATTGTGTTTGGATCCAAACTAGACGCGAAATTTTGAAGCGAACTAGTAGTGGTCGGATTCGACGAACTTGGTGGCAACTTTAACTCTCCTTTCTTAATTTTCTCCACGATAGACTCTACTTCAGTTCCTTCTTTATCCGCATTTCCTTTCACTCCTTGCACCTTATAACTGCCATCAGGTTGTTCCTCCAATACAACAAATGTTACCTTTTTCGCTGGCAGATTGTGAATCGGTGTTTTCCCAATCTCTTCTAACTTTCCATCACTTTTCTGTCTAATGACTTCAAAATCTGCTCCAGGAGGAAGCACACCCTTTGTTAATTCCTCAAAAATAGCTTTTGGTGGCTTGATAGTCGTGGTCGAGGTAGTTAACGCCAAAGTAGAGGTAGTCAATATGGATCCATCGGTTGGAATATTAGAAGTTAGGCTGTTCGAAGAGTCAATCAGTTGAACTTTTTTCCCATTAGGAAGCACGATATCTCTCGTACTGACATTCCTTGCATCATCGTCGACAGATTGAGCCAGAGCCAATTTCAATTGTTTCAGTAGAATTTCTCTTTCTGATCCTAATGAAGTAGACCTAGTTTTTGTTGTAACACTTTTCGACGTCACTGGTTTTTCAGTCTGATATATGATTTTGATCTGAGGTTTTGGTTACCTTGTTGAATGAATTGATTCTGTTGTTCCTGAATCAAACCCAATAGATTCTCTGGTATAGTCGAAGTTACTGTTACCTTCTCTTGATGGGTCTTGGGTGAAACTGTTGAAGTAGATTTGTTGGTCGTTGTGGTCCTTATAGTCGTTGTTATAGGTGGAATTGGTGTAGTGGTAGAATATTTCTTTTGATGAGTGGCTATTGCCTTCAGAAACAGATCAGTTTCCGATGGAGTGATTTTTCTCGTTGGCAACGATACGAGTACAGGTGTCGCTGTAGTACTGACATCTATAGTGCTAGGAGAAGTGACTGGAATGGGTAACGAAGTTGTAGAGGTTAGTTTCTGCAGTTGTTGAAGTCTCAGCAATTCTTGCTGTCTTCGTAACTCCTGTTGTTCCAACAATAATTGTTGTCTTTGCTTTTGCAATAATTCTAACTCACGTTGTTTCTCTAAATATTCTTGTAATTGTAACGTTTGTCGGTCACTGAATAAAGGTTGTGATAGATCTTGTTGGAGATTTTGAAAGTGATTGTTAATGTTTTGATATTGGCTGCTATATTGTTGCTGTTGTTTAGCAGGTTGAGATTGAAATTGGGTTTGAGCATTCAGATAATTTGGATTATTGAGTTGTTGTGCTATTTTTTGTTGTTGTTCCTGTATCAACTGTTGTACTTGTTGTTGTTGTTGATACAATTGCTGAAGCTGTTGTTGTTTTGCTCGATCTACTTTATATTTTGCTAGAGATGGATAAGATGAACTAGTTTGTGGTTTCGAAGCGGCTTGCTCGAAGTTTGAAAAAGATCCTCGAGTATCGGATAACTCTTGGGGTCGACGGAACCGTTGTTGGTGTTGTTGAACGTCGCTTAGTATTTGAGCCTGTTGAGAAGCTGAGAGACGTGGTCGTGGATCATGTGGTGAATGACTCTATAAAAAAATTGTACACGTGTTAAACAAATTGTATGTTTCGAATAATGTAATTGAAAATTTTAAAAATATTTTTTAAAAATTAGTTTTTGTTTTAATAAAATATATAATTAAATCAAGATATTGGAATATTTTTGACAGATTTAAAAAATAATTTAAAATAAGTAAAAAGTATTTCATATATCTAGTACTAGAATTTTAAATAAATATTATATACAAATTTTAAATAAATATGAAAATAAGATTTTTAATTTTGTTAGTTAATTAAATTAAATTTGCATAATTTTGAAAGTTTTAATGATATATCGATTATATATTTTGAATATGTTTGAATAATGATTATATATTTCTTATAATAGTGATAGTGGATAAGTGAGATACAAATATTTTATTTAGGAACTATGACATAAATGTATATTATATGTATATATATTATATATTCATTTTTTTATTAAATTAAATTAAAGATTTAATGATACTAAAAATTTAGATATATGCAATAATCAAAAATATTTATCTTGATTATTATTTGATTGATTATATAAATTTAGAAAATTAATATAATTGTGATTTTTATATAACACAAATTGTTTTATATTTAAAATTCAAATTTCGATATATGTGCATCATGTTATACATTATTTATTTATTCTATACAAATACTAATATTCTAATACAAAATCTTTTCCAATAAAATCTTTTTTTATGAAAATCTTCAATTTTTCAACAATTAATAAAATAATGAAATTTATTTATCACATTAATAAATTCAGAAAGTTTACCAAAAATTTATAATCATGCGTAAAAATTTATATCAACTATGGAATAAACAATAATTCATTTGGATTTCATGTTTAATTATCAACATTTATAGATTTTGTAATTACTCATAAGGGAAGCTAGTGTGTATTAATTACGATTTTTATTCAGGAAAAAGAAAGAGTCCGATGCAATCAAGATCGTGGTAATTAACACAACTATTGTTTCAAACTCCCTTCTTTGTATAGCATTTGTATTCTACTGGGACTGAGACAATCTCTTTGCTTATTCGAGAAAGTATAACTCATCGTGGTTTTCATTTCGCAGCGTCCTCGCATAATAACTCGTTCGACGATCTCGAATTCAAATTAAAATCTTTTATAACATCTCGGTTCATGACAGCACTGTTTTTTCCGGCCTGTTCTTTTGTTACCTTTCTCTTTAAATCGTAGTACGTATACTAATTACATATATTAATGATGAAAAATTTTTAAAATTAATATTATAATATTGTTAAAAATATGTAATCAATACGATATATTTTTATAAATATATTATAGAAATATTATTATATAAAAATTTATTTAAAATTCTATAATTTCAAAATGCTTTCTTGAAAAATGATGTATGTAGAATTACTGTTAATGTTTGTAGCTTTAATTTCTAATTAATAATCAAATTAGCAGAAGATTCAATTTGGCTGCGATTGAAAAAAGAATTTTAGCGGCCAAAAATTAGATATGTCTGTTGTATTTTTACTTCACAAATGCAAATTATAGATAATTAATAATTATTTAATATTTTATAATATTTTGATTCTCGCATATGTTTTTTTATGAATTTATTATAAGATGTATAATTTTTCTTTAATTATAGATAATGATCATTTATAGAAAATAATAGAGTTTACAATATCATATTTTATAATTAGTTTGTTAATTATGTAAATGTTTATTAATTTATATTACATATTATTACATATTAATAATTGTTACCTGAATTGTACTTGTGGAATAAAAAAAATTAAAATATAATTTTAATTATATTTTAGATGCGACAATTATAAATTATTCAAAAAAAAAGCATTTAGATATATATATATAAAAAAAAAGAGATACTAATTGTAAAGTATTAAATTATGTAATATAAGAATACCATTACATATATATATATATATATATATATATATA